CGTAAATATTGTTTATTAGTCTGCAGTATCCATACATTTTGTTTTAAATGTAGCTGGCAATACAGAAATTAATCTTTATGCCATAGGCAAAGGCACTTACTCATTTAGCACTACCCAAGGGCCACGTGTAGCTTTGAAGATATGCTACGGACGCGAATAACATTATACCCACAACACTCTACGATCTTATTAGACCGGGACCTACGGTTTAAAGTGGATTCCGGACAACTACAAATATCCATGGCACCACCGGCATTCGAACCCGAAACCTGTGGTACCAAGCACCAGAGATCTAGTTACTCGACCATCAGGCCCCTTAAGTTCAGATTCTAAATATATGATATTATTATTATCAATTTGATTATAAAGGTAGGTTTTATGTTCCGCGTATGCTGTACCACAAACAAGTTAACGGAAGGATGAAGGGAGAATTTTTAAGAGTAATAGATCCACATTTGCGTGTCGTATGATGGGAAACCCCGGACTGTTGATACGAGACACTGATTTATGTTGTTATAATCGCCCGCGTTTCTCCCTCTTCTCTGGAAGCAAAGACAGAGGAAGGCAGGAGGGATTCAATTCAAAACCTTCCAGCACAATAGATGTGTTCGTTATTACGATGCCAACAGTCAGTTGTGTGTTGCAATTTCTGATTTGACAAAGCAGTAGATTCGGTGTAGATTGTGACAATGTTTCGCATTTACATGGATTACCGTGGAGCAGGGGTGGCCAACCCAAATGATCTTGCGGGCCACTTTGAAATGCATCATAGCTGCGCGGGTCGCATGTAAAATTATATATCCCCATATTAAATTTACACACACTATAGACATTTTTGGAGTGAAAAATTGAAACGTAATGAGTTATTATTTTGTGTTTACTATTATTCTTACACGTAAACATAGATAATATAATAATAATGATACTAAACGTACATTGTAAGGAAATATATAACACTAAAAATGAAATATAAAAATATATATAAATATAAAAGAAATAAAAAAATGAAATCATTAAAAAAGAATTTATTTCACTAGTGCGATATTTGTTTTCCACTCTTTCACTCAGCTTTTGCAAATCGATCTCAATTTTGGTACTTGCACATCGTAATGGGTGTTGCGTCCGTTGTTTGAGCGTGTTTTGCGTTTGGAAAAAAAAAGTTCGCAGTTGTAAGTTGAACCAAAGGAGCTAACAACTTCAACTAAGAGTCTGGTTTGCTCTGCTATCAACAATCAACTGTAAACTCATAAATAAAACAGGCAATATCTGTCATATATTCGCAAGAATATTATTTTAAAAACAAAGTTTATTTTTTCTCATAATTTCGACAATCAATTTTTGAATATATGGATGCTCACAATGTATTTTTTAATACATTGATTTTTCACTACTTTGTCCATTATAAAATAAATATATTTTGTAAAAGTGTGATAAATCTCACCGGCCGCAAAAATATACAAGTCGGGCCGCGGGTTAGCCACCCCTGTTTTAGAGTGTTTCCATGTTCCATATCTATCCCATACGTTAAGAAACAGCAGGACAAATGTTCTTGAAGGTCCATGCAGAAGTTAATTAATTACTTTCGTCTAACTGGTCAGAATTAAAATCTTTTGATATGTGGAACACGAGGTCCTTGAAGAACAAAAAAAAAAAATTACAGTTTTTGTAGAGATGCTTGTTATCCTTTATTTGTCTTTCCATTGTCTTTCTATTCTTTGTTGTCTCACTTCAATCTTTGTCTCACTTAATGTTAATCCTTGAAGTTATTTTCCTTTTATCAAATTTGACAATAAAAGAAAAAATATTAACATTACTTTTTTTAGGACTCTTTATTTAAGTTTACTAGACTGGAATTAAATTGTATGTCTATTTCACAAGAAAATTCTATTTACGAAGTTCTATTTACACAGTCCGGTATCTCATCTGATGTTCAGCTTGAAAAAAAAAAAAAAATCATGCAGTCTTTTTTTTTTTTTTTTTTTTTTTTTTTTAACTTAGCTCTGAATACACCACAAAATCATAGATATTAAATGATTAAAGTATTTTAAACATAAAATTTTTAATTCAAAAACTGCGTGCAGACTTGACAGAGAGACTGCACAAAAAGTGGTCTTTCAGATCAAGCCGTAATTCTCAAACCATGTTCTCACGCCTATCTTGAATGAAGATAGGCGAAAAATCGCTAAGTCGAAGGTTTTTTTCCCTAAGAATTTCCACTACATCAAAAAAAAATAAATAAATAAATAAAATAAAAAAAAAATAAAATAATGATCGTGTACTCACAACATATTTGTTCACTTCTTTTTCAAGGTTAAAATCGCAATGCTGAGTGTTTGCTTATGCAATTTTAGATATTGACGCAGTTTAAGAAGCAAGCCTGTGTAATTACCAGGCAGTAATTACATAGCCTTGCATAGTAATTACATAACAGTAATTGCATATTAGTAAACAAACCTATGCATTTTCCAGGGTAAGTTGCATGAAATTTCTTTTCTTTGAAGAATCTTTATAAAAATTTAATGTTTTCTAGAAAATTGATATTTTGTTTCAGGTACGATTTTCGACTCTGTAGTAAATAAAATGTAACCAAAATATTAAGCAATTGTTATGAATATTTTTGCAAGAAACATGTTAAATTATATTATTTAATATTTTAGAACAAAGTGCTTTTGAAATTCTTACAAAGGTATAATTCAAAGTATTTTAAAGAAAATAGTTGATGGTGAGGTTACGAAAGATTAGCTATTTTTGAATTGGTAATCGCGCACAAGATATCCAAATTTCACGAGAATTATAAAAAGGAAAAGTATCTTTTAAATTAATGAATCTTTAATCTTTTTTTTTTGCTTAATTGGTACTGGATCATCACTAGAGGACATAAATTTGATTTTTTATAATTTGATTTCGCAATCCATGTATTTTCATTATAAAACAGTTCAAAACTATAATTAATATGTTTTATATAAAATATCCTGATATCACAATAAAAAAAATCTAAGCGACTCGTCCAAGATGGAAGGAATTGTAGAAAAAAATATTTCCTACACTGCATTATAAAAGAAGCATATAAATTACATTTCTATCTAAGCAGTAAATACACTCGAAAAAGACCGAATAATCTACAAACTAGAATACTACAAAGTTTTACAAAATATTTTAGACATTCCTCCCAAACTGCAGCTGAGATTGCAGTGCATCCCCTAATTACAATACTAATTATTTTCCTTACAATAGCTTGATACCGCAATAAAAAAAAAAATCTAGACGACTCGTCCAAGATGGAAGGAATTGTGGAAAAAAATATTCCCTACACTGCATTATAAAAGACAACAGTGCCTTTATAAAAGAAACATATAAATTACATTTCTATCTAAGCAATAAATACACTCTCGAAAAAGACCGAATAATCAACAAACTAGAATACTAGCTCTTACAAAATATTTTAAACATTCCTCCAAAACTGCAGCTAATTATTTTCTTTACAATAGCTTGATACTGCAATAAAAAAAAAATCTAGACGACTCGTCCAAGATGGAAGGAATTGCAGAAAAAATATTTCCTACACTGCATTATAAAAGAAACATAAATTACATTTCTATCTAAGCAATAAATACACTCTCGAAAAAGACCGAATAATCTGCGAACTAGCTCTTACAAAATATTTTAGACATTCCTCCCAAACTGCAGCTGAGATTGCAGTAATCTCCAGCACAATGTACGTGGAATATATATATCTATATATTCCAGTGGGGAAATGAATATATAAACCTGGATATAATCCAGCTACGCTTGTCAAGGAGGATCACCTAATCCGCCTTAGTTGGGGGACTTTTCTCCAAGCGAGAAGTGAATAAGGAAATATTAAGTCAGCACTTGCATCACAAAATGGAATCGTTTTTATGGATGGACTTGGTAATTACCGTAACAGGATCTTGGCTGAGTTTCTTAAGATTACATGAGCGAAAATGGTGAAAAGGGTGGGTATAAAGTATAGAATCAAATGTTACGGATTAAGTAATCAATGCATTACAAAATGATGAAGGATTACTTGTCATTCAGTTGCTTTTGCAATCACCATTATAAATAGATAAAGACTTTTTTTTTCCAAAGCTTAAAATTACATGATATACAATACCAGAAATGCGGAGGATCCCAACTGTATATATTTGCAGTGGTCGATTGCATATATAAGGGATATTTCGGATATCAATACAAATAATATTTATATTATAAAGAACTTTAACCGATCAATAATTTTAATATATATATATATTAATCAAACTCTAACAGATGCCATGCTACCAATCTTCAACTTTAAATGAAAACTCTCTCTATATAATAATACTTATGTAAATTTAAAAACTATAGTCATTCAACTATTCCCCTTTCCTTCAAAGATTATAATACATTTAAAATCAACTTTTATAGCCTCAGATTTAAAATCAGTTATACATTTTCATTGCTTTTAACTCTACTTAAATACATTTCAAAAATCCTTTAATTGGTAGTTTATCCGACTGTTATTTTAATACCATTAAAGGCTAAAGGCCTCCTTCTTTCTCAAATCCCAGCGACAAGTTTAGCAAAATAATAAAAATCAAACCTATATATTATACGGGCAAAAGATAAAAGGTGTCTTCAAATATTTGTTAGCTATATACATTTAACTGAATAGTCTATTTTTCTAAATGCTCCTTCCATTGCGATTCTTTTTCATTACAGTTTTTGGCCTATATAAAGCGTGGAAAGGAATTTCAAACACTAATCATTATTTCTAAGTAACTTTTTAAATCATCAGAAGTTTTTGAAGGGGAAATATTCCTCTCTAAACAAATCAAATAGTTTTAAAAAAGAGTAAAATAACTTAAATCATAAGAACTACTATATAAATTGGGGTTGGGAATAAATAAAAATTTCTTGCGTACAAGAAAATGATATTAATTCTAGAATTTAATTAAATTTTTGAATTAGGATTACCATTATGAAGAATGTTGCCAACTTGGCCATACCATGCAGAATATACAGGTTTTCATTAGATCACCAAAGTCAAGCATCATTGGGCGGGGTCAGTACTTGGATGGGTGACCACCTGGAGAACACCGTGTGCCGTTGGCATTCACGAATTTGGGACATGAATGGCCGAGTGTCTAGCGCTCGGTGCCACAGGTTTCGGGTTCGAATCCCCGGCGGTGCCATGGATGTTTATAGTGGTTCGAATCCACTTTAAGCCGTAGGTCCCGGTCTCCTATGACTGTAAGAGCGTCACGGAGCCAAAGTCAGGCTTCTACCTACGGGGTGCTCCATCACAACAGAAGCTGCTTCCTTCCCCTTCAATCGTGTGAGTACGTATGGGCTCGTGGGCTTGGCCAGCCAAGTGGGATAAGAAACAACAACAACAACAATTATGAAGAATTGTAGATTATTTAATTAAAAAACTGTACTGCATTGTGATAATGCATCTTTATTAGTAAAAACAAATTCTCAATCTAGATTTGGTTTGTCGTTCTAATGTCATCTTTTGCATACTTTGGGCTAATTAGACAGGGACCTACAGCTTAACATGGATTCCGAACCACTAATAAACATACATGCCAACGCCAGGATTTAAACCTGAAGGCTGTGGTTACCAGAATGGTCAGAACGCTAGCCAAATGGTCACCAGGCCGCTCTCAGTTTAGAAGTATAGTATAACTCAAAAACTAAAAATATATAGAGAGAAACCACGGAGGAAAGGAACTTACCACATAATTGACAGTAGAAACAGCGGAATGCGACACTGATCGCTGAGGATAAATGGGTTCAGGACTTTTCTACCATCCCTAGGTAAAGAGCTCCATTTGTCAACACCATTCGGTAACACTTTTGGTGGTTTCGGTAAACTAGAAAAGATGGGACAAATTTGGGACGAAATGAACGGGTATATTGCATCGTCTTTATCCATTGAAGCACTAGATCTTTCTTGCGTTTTGTTACCCAAGTTAACTACATCATCATTGATGACACATACAGTTCTTACAACAGGAGAATTCTCAAGCTCAATAGTTTCTGATGGAATGACATGTGCAAGTGAGGCTCTATTCTTTTCATCATTGCAGAAAGGTTCAGCGGTTTCTTGTGCTTCTATTACATATTCAGCTGACTTTAAGCAACTAGGTCTCCTGCAACCATATTTTTCAGTTTGTGTAGCTTTAACACTACGGAATTCTTGATCTTCATCCTTAAACTGTGGTGGAGGAGTAATAAGGTCATCATCCGCACCACAGATTTGCAAATCTAAATTTAAACTTTTAATTTTCTTTCAGAAACTGGAGCACTGTCAGTACAGTCTTCGAGCATTTCAGGAGTATTACAAGAAGTTTGTTCAATGCCGCTGTCTGGTGATCTAGACGTAACTTTAAGACTTGCCTCCGAATTCAGTATTATATTTGATTCTACCGAACCTGACTTCTGCATGTCATTCGATGCTGATGGAGTGTTTTCAAAATAGGATTCCTTGAAATTTTCATCTGGTTTAATTGGGCTTAAACTGTAATCTGAAGAAAAGACTAAAACTTTCAGAGGAATTCATTAAATCTTTTGATAAGCTTTATCCAATTCTAGCACTAAGTTATCCGCCCATATAGACAACAGATTAACATCGCCACTAGGAGGTCTAGGAAAGGTATTTGTATCCTCCTGTATACGAGGTAAGTGGTTATAGTAACCTCCGGCTGAAGTATCCGAATTTGAACGTTGGCGATGATGTTTGCGTCCCTCGAGTGGCAATGTTCGAAAATCAGAACCATTTTCAACTGTTCTTTGTATCCATCCATCTGATATTGTATTATTTTTGCATGAAGAATCTGAAGTCTGAGTATCTTTACGTAATAACAGAAGGTCCTTCGTAGTTTCTGAATGATACAGATGGATGCATACTCCATAATCTTCTTTAGTGTTCGGTGAATATTCTGTTTTTCCATTTTTGCCAGAGATACCAGGGCTAAAACTAGATGTCAAAAGATATACGAGAAACACAAGAATTGCCAGAAGAATTTGGTTTTGTTGAATGATTTCCGAAGTCTAATATGTTACCTTCATAGCAAACACGATTCACAGATGAGGAATTGCCATTACTAATTTCTGAAATTTCACCGTTAGTCTTGATTGACCAGTCTTCAGATCGGAATGCTTGAGGTGGAAGAATAAGTGTTTCATTTAAATTTTTGAATTCTATTGATTCGTTTGGTACCAAACTTAAATTATGATCTTCTAGGTCCTTAACAGCAAGGTCTACTTCCTCCTAAAAGGAAAAGAATTCCGATTAGCAAAAAAAAAAAAAACTAATAATAGTAAATATACAGTGAGTGTAAAAGTATTCGTGCAGTACACAATTGATTTAAAAAGAGATCCGTTTATAAAAATTATAAACATAAATTCCATTTCAATTAATTATAAATATATATATATAGAACATATTTTCACGAGTTTCAT